AACTGCTCACAGGCGCAGATCCAATCATACCTGAAAGGTCAATGAGTAGAGGCCAGAAGAAGCTCGTTCTCACAAGGCCAACTGCTTGGTGACCTCCTGGCTTACATTGTCTACCCATTCTTGCCCCTGCCGAGGTCACTCCAGCAAATAAACACGGTGAGGGGCAGTTTAACGCTCGAAAAACCGCTAGATGGACGTAGGAGCAAGGTACTTACGACTTCTTCCTGATGGTAACAGAAGTCTTCGCAGTTCATTGGACATTTACCACCAACCCAAGGTGGGCAGCCCCAAGCAATAATGTGCTGTTTCGTCCACGTTCTGCTTGTCTCAAAAGCCTCAGTATGGTCAGGGGTTGGGGGGTGTCTAGGGTTGCGGTTGGTCAGCATTCCGTTACACCTCAAGAAACACTTTTACATGACCAAGCGTCTTAAATAGCCTCTGCCTGGGAAGCCCTACTCATCGTCTTTTTGTGGTCCCTGTTTTCCCACCAAAGTCAGAAAATGAAAAGTCGATATGCGGGTTGGTGAATCACTGGTAGTTCACCTAGGGGAGTTCATCAAAAACACTGCTTCCAAACCAAACAAGGAGAGACGTACGAACCACACACGCACCAACCTCCCTGGTTATGGCAGTGGTCACCGGCTCGATTGGGCATCGAGGGGTATTGGGTACTTTGGACGTTTGATTCCGTCCAAAGGGCGAGTGATCGAATAAACTGGACCCCAATGGATTTTCATACACCGCCCCGCTGCCTTGCGAGTCAGGCTTTGGCTAGCTGAAGGCTCCGGTTGTGGATTCCTCAAGAGAATTTACCTGCCTTGGCCTGGGCAACTTGGCAGTATTCCGCCCACATGCAAATCATGGAACGCCTTTCTTTTTCATAATGATTATTGTACCATGGTTTGTTTCGCACACAGTCTGGATTTAGACGTGTGTGAAAATATATACACATTGTCTCATTGAGTATATGAGGCTAGGGGCTGATCCCCAAAAGAGTACCGTCAACCAACGCACCAGCGAACAACAAACTCAACCGAAATTCAAAGGCCTTGTGTGACAGCTCTCCGGAAGCCCCAACGTGGGTGCTTCGTTCACGCTTCTGCGTTGAGTCTACGTCCCACTGCCTTGTGGGTCAGACTTTTGAGTCGAAGGCCCCGGTTAGGGTTCCCAAAGAAAA